CAATCTGAGTTCTGGTGGATTGGGTTATTCTTCTTGGACCCTTGATCAGCTGTGAGAGATCAACCATCAGTTATTTGTTTGAGGTTCTTTCTAGTAGCCTTATCTTCCCAATTAACATTAAAATCGCCCATTATTATCACCTCTTTTTTAAAATTGCACTCTACAAGCATGTTTGGAACTTTTCATAAAACGCATTATTTGCAGAGGGTGGGCGGTAAATTACAATCAGGACAAAAGACATTTGTGGTGACAAAGTGATATTCAAGCCAATACATTCAGCTCACCAATTTGACCAAGTTAATTCATTACATTGAATACTATCCTTCACATAAACCATGACCCCGCCTCCCTTTGATGTCACTCTATCTTCTGAAGATTTGATAAGCCAGGTACCTCTAATGCTGCAGATGGCGAGTTTTCATGCACAAGTCTCTAGAAAAACATCCCGTTTGTCGAGCTCCTATGTTGAAACTATCTAAACTTATATATTTAAATAATTGAATCACACATAAAAGCAACACTTAACCCTTAATCCTACCTGGAAGTTTATAACAGTCTTTTTAGAGTTAATTTACTGTAGTGAAGATCACTATTTATCTCACTTCCCTTCTTCACCTACCTCAGTTCACTTCGCTCCTTCTTCACCTTCACTCTGAGAGTTTGAACTATGTGTGTTTATTTCATTTTTGTTTCCCCTTTATTGAACCTTTGACTTGAATTTAAAAAATAAATAACTGAAGTTCATGCATCCTGACCCGAGGCCCATGGTGATAGTCACCCAATAAATTTGAACCCTTCCTAACATTTACATTTTCATAAAAGCTACAGCGTGTAGTATTTATTTACACTGCTCACTTATTCAGTCTGTAAAGTTTCCTCTTTTATCCTCAAATCAAGTCAGAGGAGTTAAAGTAGTGTGTGTGAATTAAACTCTGAGAGCAGCTGCTTTGTTTGTTTCTTGTCAGTAAAAATCACTTCAGTGTTCGACAGTCAGAAGACACAGTTTGACATTTTTCATGTTTATTCAAACGTTTGTACAGAAATGAAAAGCTCTGTGTGAAATGACTTGATACCTCCAAGATCATCATCATCATCATCATCATCATCATCATCAGTCTACAGCGTGAACAGACATGAACGTTGATGAAGTCAAACCTCTCAGTCAACAACAGGAAACAGTCAGAGTCCAGTTTACACCGCGGCTCAAACTAAAGCAGTCTGAATCAACAGTCCTCAAACAGGTTAGGACTTTCTTTGTCACCATGGGAAACTGTCTTTGTCTTCACAACAAAGAAAACATGATGACAAACAAGACAACATTTTCTGAGCAGTAAAGTTTGGGGGTATGGGGGGGGTTATGTTTTTTTGACTTATAAATGTAATAATGGAATCACACTTGGGACCAGTGATTGTTTGTAATCATGGTCTGTGACTCGTGGCAGTCTGAAGCGTCTGAAACCTAAACTGGAGTGCAGGGGATGAGAGGGGTCGCTGGTTAAAAATCCTGAAGGTTCTAATGTTCACTTCACACAGACTCATCATTATTAATATCAGTAACACAAAAATAAAACCTTCATCACATTATATTTGACTTCAGCTGCAAAATATTCACTCATCATTTATTTCAGCATAAACTGAAGTTTTATGGTTTTAATTCTACATGTTGGTTATTCTGAACCTTTCAGAGCTACGAGCACTTTGATTATTTATGTTTACAGCAGTTATAAAGCACTTTGATTATTATGTTTACAGCAGTTATAAAGCACTTTGATTATTTATGTTTACAGCAGTTATAAACACTTTGATTATTTATGTTTACAGCAGTTAAAAACACTTTGATTATTTATGTTTACAGCAGTTATAAACACTTTGATTATTTATGTTTACAGCAGTTATAAAACACTTTGATTATTTATGTTTACAGCAGTTATAAAAGCACTTTGATTATTTATGTTTACAGCAGTTATAAAGCACTTTGATTATTATGTTTACAGCAGTTATAAAACACTTTGATTATTTATATTTACAGCAGTTATAAAGCACTTTGATTATTATGTTTACAGCAGTTATAAAGCACTTTGATTATTTATGTTTACAGCAGTTATAAAGCACTTTGATATATTTATGTTTACAGCAGTTATAAACACTTTGATTATTTATGTTTACAGCAGTTATGAAGCACTTTTTAATGGCACGAACACACACAGGGTTCAGTGTGTCGCTCAAAGACACTTTAACATGTTGGACTGGAGAGAGATTTCATATTGTTTTGAGACACTTTAATAAAACTGGAACTTTATTGTAAGTTAAGTTTAATTAGGTCCTTTTTCAACCTGTTCTATTTTAATTCAATAGCTGGATTGGCGGTAAAATCATAGAGAACACGATCAATAAGTGATAATAGATGCTACCACAGATAAAATCTAATTAATAAAGGTATTTGACTTTGATTTGGTCAAACACTAAAAAAGGTAAAAAAAAAAAAAAAAAAAAAAGACAAGTCTTTTACATAAAAATGTGTTAAAAGTCCATCACAAAATACAAAAAAAAAGTAGCTCGTCAAAATTCTGAAATATTGTGGAGGACAGATGTGTAAAAACTGGAATGGCTGTTTAAGTTTGATGTGTTTAAACTTGCTCATTTTGTTTTGTAACATGTCCTGGACATGCAAAAAGGGGTGAATAACTTTACTACAGCTCACTGAAGCTCACCACCCATTAGTTAACTAGTCTCCTCTTTCCTAGAACTAAGTGAGAGCTCACTCCCTACCAGCCGCTAGTCTCCTCTTTCCTAGAACTAAGTGAGAGCTCACTCCCTACCAGCCGCTAGTCTCCTCTTTCCTAGTACCAGGAGCTTTGTAAAATTACTCCGCTAACACCTTTTGGAGGAGAGAGGACTTGTTATAATCACAGCTCCAGGATTATCTGCCTAACATTCATTTCTAGAATAATTAGATTCAAGAATAACCCCTGGTACAGGACTCTAGATTACCCCCCGGAGAGGGAATAACTGTAATCTCTCCCTACTGGGATGTTAGGTGTGTATGAGGTGTGTAGTAAAAGTCAGTAGAAGTGTGCCGTGGTGTGACTGCTCAAGCTTACCTTCCGAGGTTCACGGGGTCCTTAAGGGAGACTCCAGTCTTTGTGGTGTGAATGATTTCAGTCAGAAAATGATTTCAAAAAGTTTCCGAAAATTTATTTAAAAAACTTCAGATGATATTCCAAATGCAAATACAAAACAGTAAAAGTAAAAATATAAAAATGTAAAAAGTAAAAGCAAAACACAAAGACCAAAGTCTAAACCTGAGAGTGTAGACACTTGAGGTTTTAAAAGATCTTGGTCTCAGAGACTAAGTCCCAAAATGGGGATTCAAAAGTCAGAGTGACGTGGAGTCCTTTAGAAAAGTAAAAAAGAACCTCGATCAGCTTTTCCACAACGTGTTTATAGCCAGACGGTCTCTTTTTCAAGATTCTGTAAAACCTCAACAATTCATATTCGCAGAAACGTGATACATCCACAGGTGATACTAAGTTCATATGTGGTTTTAATGTCAAATCATACAAGGTAACACAGGTGATACTAAGTTCATATGTAGTTTTTAGCTTGAACCAGGCAGATTCACAGAAACGCTATACACCTACGAGCTCGTATGTGGTTTTGCTCAATGTATGGCACACTTATCCTGACCTCACAGGTGCATAGGCACCGCGGGTGTGTGTAGGATTGACAGGATATGTAAAAGCACAAAAAAAAACTAAAGTCGTATTGACTATATGATATGAATGAAATGACAAAAAGATTAAGTGATAATAAAAGAAAAATAACATATATGGTAAAAATAAATTCAACAGTTGCATAACTCTCTGAAGTTTGAACATTTTCAAACGCCTGGAATAGAAGACAGGATATTCTGTTTAATTAGTTTGACTTTCTCTTTTTGTTTCTTGACAATGAATATAGTTTACCGAGTGCACTCTGATCCTGGAACATTTTAATTTACGGTGTCACGTAAGCCCACGCGGGCTGGGCATATAAATGTATGTGACACAACAATAAATAAAAAAACGTTACAACTTCAAACTAAAGTTATATATAAACTGACAGAAGCAGACAGCCTGTGATCATTCCATTTTGTGCAGAAGAAGCGTCGATGCTCAGAGCCTGAAGCAGAAAGCCTGAGTTAACAAGTTGATGAACACTTTCATAAAGCCCAATACAGCTCTAAATACTCTCTAACTTTATGTTGAACTTGATTCAGAGCCACCCCTCTGCCCTCCATGTAATCCAGTAATACTTAAGGTCACACATACTTCACAGAGTTGTTTTAGATGGCTGCAAGAGTCCACTGGAAGACTGAATCTGCATTTGAACCTGTGGGAAGAAAAACATAATTTTCAAGAATCTGACTGAGAGTAAAAAAACAGACTGCACGACTGAGGAGATAAATCTACTGTCAAGACTCTAAAAGAAGACATTTAAAGAGTTGTTTTTTATCATGGACATGCTGATGCAAATGATTTAATCTTACCTTTTTACGATTTATACAGTGACGCTTTATGCAAAACCCAGCACAACAGCCACAAAAACTAAACCAACCAAAGTAATTCTCAGACCAAAGATATCACGATATCCAGGTGAAGAACCTGAAACAGAAACAAAAAGTTTGTGTATCACTCAGAGTGTAGTTTCATATCACACTCAGATCAGACTGGACGTCACATTGGACACACAGAGAACAGCAGGTGTGTGTGTGTGTGTGTGTGTGTGTGTGTGTGTGTCTCTGTGTGTGTGTCTGTGTGTGTGTGTGTGTGTGTGTGTGTTGTGTGTGTGTGTGTGTGTGTGTGTGTGTGTGTGTTGTGTGGTGTGTGTCTCTGTGTGTTGTGTCTGTGTGTGTGTGTGTGTGTGTGTGTGTCTCTCTTGTGTGTGTGTGTGTGTGTGTGTGTGTGTGTGTGTGTGTGTGTGTGTCTGTGTGTGTGTGTGTGTGTGTGTGGTGTGTGTGTGTGTGTGTCTCTCTGTGTGTTTGTGTCTGTGTGTGTGTGTGTGTGTGTTCTGTGTGTGTGTCTGTGTGTGTGTCTGTGTGTGTGTGTGTGTGTGTGTGTGTCTCTGTGTGTGTGTGTGTGTGTGTCTGTGTGTGTGTGTCTCTGTGTGTTGTGTCTGTGTGTGTGTGTGTGTGTGTGTGTGTGTGTGTTCTGTGTGTGTGTGTGTGTGTGTGTGTGTGTGTGTGTGTGTGTGTGTGTGTGTGTCTCTGTGTGTGTGTGTGTCTCTGTGTGTGTGTGTGTGTGTGTGTGTGTGTGTGTGTGTGTGTGTGTGTCTGTGTGTGTGTGAGCAGTGTGACGTCAGCTCTGCTCTGATGCTCAGTCTCCTCCTGCTCGGCTCTCAGCCTCCTTTTGGTTTTTGGCTCTCAGCAGTGAGGAGGCTGATGTTGGAGCTTCGTCCTGTTTCTGAGACGAGCTGCTCATCAGCACCGACAAACTTTGAATCCACTTCACACTGTTTACATGTGAGCACACTCTGAGCACCCAAAGGACCATCTTCACCTCCTGCTCGTCAACATCTGGATCTTTACACACATCTAGTGGCCAAAGGAGCCTATTTGGGTTGTTTGTTGTTGCTCCACCCCGGAAAATGAATTACACATTTTAGCGCACGCGTCACACTCTGCTTGTCACTCACGGCGAGCAGGCAGGGGGGCTTGAGCGGAGTTACGGTATGTGCACGGCTGATTTGTTTGTAATGGTCAATTTTTGTTTATTTGCTCTAAACGCGATACTAAAACAGGGTTTTATGGTTTACCATTAAGCATGAAGGTTCGAAGGTTTATGGAGACAATAACAATTTTTACACAATTTTAATACAATTTTTTTGCAAAAATCAAAAAAATCTCTCTCCCTCTCTGTCTCTCTCTCTGTCTCTCTCTCTCTCTCTCTCTCTCTCTCTCCTCTGTCTCTCTCTCTCTCTCTCTCTCTCTCTCTCTCTCTCTCTGCGTGTGTCTCTCTCTCTCTCTCTCTCTCGCCCAAATCTCCCCTTAAAAACTCTCTGAATAACATGTCACATCTCGTTTGTGCAGAAAATAAATCAAATTAAATGAATGAAGATCATGATCATCTTTAGATTTTTGTTTCATGTTTGTTTTGAACAAACTAGATATGAGTTAGGTAATAAAATAGATGCATCATTTAACATGGCTTATAGTTTAAAGTCATTTGTGGCCCCCGTACACTGGACAGATCTTCATCCATTAACTCGACCTGAGTCCATCTAAGGAGACTATCGGCCCCATCTGTAAATACACTTTATTACCATGTTGAGAAAACTATTATTGATCATTAAAGATATGTGAGTATTTATTCAGATACAGAGAAGATATTTTCAAAGTCAAACTGAACACTTGAGGAGATTGAATCTATATTAAAGATTTGATGAAATACATTTATAACTTTGGAGAAGTTTTAAAGAGCTCTGTGGACACCTGCTGGAGAAGCTCTGTACTGCACTTTGTAAAATATCTCAAAGTCAGTGTGTAAAGCTTAAATGTGATCCAGTTCTTTAAAAGAACTTGAGGTGGACATCCTGCAGATATCTGCCTCACAGAGTGTTTACTTTAACATGAACATGTTCCAGCTCCTCATGCTCTTCATATTATTCACTTTGAAATGGTTTGAAGAGACAGAAATGCACAAAATGAAAATGAATCTCAAGAGGTTTAAACACAATCTGAGATACAAAACAAACCTGTTTGTGTGGAATATTATGGAGCTGGTAATAAAGACAATCAGATGATAAATGTGTTTGTGCAGAGTGATATAACCTGTACTGTTTAGTAAATATCAAACATGTGATTTCTGACTACTTTAAAAAAAGTTCATCAGTGACTCTTAAACCAGTCATCTCAGGAAAAATGTTTTTAACTGTTATTTTAAAAATACTCACCAACAACCAGCTCAATGGTGAACTTCTGAGGCGGCTGCAGACGAGGAAAATCACAGGTGTAGACTCCACTGTCAGACCTCGTCGTCTTCCTGATCTTTATGGAGGCGTTACCGTTCTTCAGCTCGTCGTTAAAATGTGAGACTCGACCTTTAAACTGTTTGTCTTGACCTGTAATGCCGTGACCGTAATATTCTCCTCCGTTGTAAAAGAACACCTCCTTGCGGTCTTTCGTCACGTCTTTCTTCCAGTCAAACACCTTCGTCTCGATGTTCTCCTTGGTGCTGGGGGGAACACGGTAACACAGCATCACTGTCTTCTTTCACCACCACTCGACCTGAGACAGAAACACGAGGATGAATCAGTTTGTTTACATGCAGAAAACCTGAAAACAGTTCCAGTAAAGTTTATTAATGGAGCATCAACATATTATATCAAAGAAACCTTTCATGCTTTCTCGTCTTTGTCCACCTAAATGCAGACTGACGTCTCTGAGTGTCTGAACCTCTAAACGATGTCATCTTGTCTTGTTGGTTATGCAGGTATATTTTTTCAGTTAAAGCTTTCCCCACTGTGTGTGTTCATTCATTTACTGTCCCTTTAAAAACAAAGTACCACTTGTTAGGTCACTGAACTCTGGGCCGTCTAATTTACGACATGGAGGAAACATCAGGAGCAAAGTTTTGGAAACAGGCAGCACCTGGCCAGCAAGGTGCTTAGAAATAAAAATAGATGGTGAACCAAAGTAATCCAAGACACTATGGTGCGTTGGAATCGTCATTTTTTCTGAGGAAGGTTCCTAACTGAGTGAAATGAAGCATTTAAGTGTTTTTTAAGTGGTTTCCATGATAAGAGCCGTTTGAATTCTCTAAAATCTAAGGAAAGGTGGGTCGATGCTTCCTTTATAACCTCCTTTAGGATACACTGGACCATCCTTTAGGAAAGGAGATGAGATATGACGTCCCACAATTCCTTGCGGCCTCAACATTTAAAGCGAGTCGAGCATCCGACCGTTCAGGAACATTAACGATGATCGTAAAGTGACTCAGATCATGAAAGAGATAAAAGATAAGAGACATTTTTATCAGATGATGTTTGATTCAACATATTTCATTCTCTTCAGAATGTTTTGTGCTGCTGTACATTTGTATGTTTAAAACATTATGTGTAGGTTATATCTTACATTAATGTAACAATTCATTTCATCCAATCATATTGATGTTGATGTTGATTTCTGATTGGACAGGAAGCTGATGGTTTCACTTTTCTTACTTGTAGTCTGGTAGTCTATATTTCTTTTATTTCAATCCCAACCTCGTGGTGATCAGGATTATTTCACCGGTAAGAAGCACAGGGGAAAGTTTTTTACATCATCTTTTTGTAGTCCATTTTCTGAACATTGTAGTTTCAACACGTCAGACCCACCCAGGGGTCCAAACTGATCAGGGATGAAAAAGGTGACATGGATCCAAACCTCCTAGCGGGGTCCGGGGACATGCTCCCCCAGGAAGACTTTTTTTAAATATCATCTTTAAAATGTGAATTTACAGAAGATTTTAGCATTCAGACTAAAGAAGCAGTGCAAACAATAAGAAAAACACAAAGCTTGTTGATATCTATGTTCTGTTTTAACTTTTTGATAAAGCTTCAGTGAAACATGAAGAACCCCGTGATGCTCCCAACCTTCAGTCCCTTTCTATACATTTGCAGAACAGGTCTTACCATGTTCCACTAAGAGCTGATGTGAAGGGCAGTCACTATGCAGGCAGCTCTCAGAGTCTGAGAGAACATCACAATACAGTCATCAAGGATGACAATATTTTCTCTTCTATCTAGGGTTGCCACTTTCCGAGCAGAAAAATAAAGGACACCTCTGGCAGCGGGGGTGCCAATCTGCAGGGGCCCGACCACCAAGGGCCTAATAGTGGGGTGGGGCATCAGTTGTGGTAAATCATAATAAAGACATTGTTTTAATAACGTATTACTTAAAGTTTGAAGTACTTCATTGCACACTGTTTTTCAGAAAATATCTGCAAACGTAAAACTGTGTAAAAGCAGATACAACAATTAAATGCACATAACACAACTTGAGTAAATGCTTACTACAAGCTAGTTAAACCAAAACTTATTAACTTAGCATTAATTTATTAAATTAGAATTAAACAAATGCTTTGACACTTTCAAAAAATATGTGGTGCAGGAGAACACAACAACTTTTAGAAAGTAGGAATAACCATAAAAAATAATCTCATCTCAGGATGGTGATGCTACTTGTGCACACGTGACTTTCTTTCACCACAAATGAAAGAAACACGAAACAAATTCTAGGTGTGCAAATAACAAACATTAAAACTATAAAACTATCCTTCTGCCCACATCTCTGTTTTACAAAGTGATCTGTTTACCAAAAATGTTTTTTTCTTCTATGTGTGGAGCAGTAGTCCATGCCAAAGAGTCAACAGCCTTCTCTCTTCCTAAATGTGCTACTTCTTTTTCCATGTGTACTTCTTGTCACTTCTTGAAACACTGAGTAGCTGTTTGTCTTTCAAAACACTGCAGTAAAACTCTGAACAGGACTGCTCAAAGTTGAGAGTGATCAAGAGCTCACTCCTCATAAGTTCCACAGAGCACCTGTTCCTGCTGTCACTCCATTTGTTTGTCATTCTTGAAAAAATCCTTTCCACGTATCCTGTGGATGCCGAGATGCTCAGGATGTGGCTGATGATGGCCAGCATGTTGGGCAGGTCAGCTTCATGAAAGAGAGCCACCCACCTTGCAGCCACGTCTTTGGACTTCCATTCATCTTCTGCTTTCTCTTTGAGCTCCTTCAGAATGGTATTTGCAGTTGTGCATTCCTCATATAGTTCATCCATGTTCACTTTATCAATGAGGTTGAGCTTATCAGTGATCTTCTCAATATCGCTGAAGGTAAGCATGCCACAGTGCAGAGAGAGAGGTTGCAGGGAGAACAGCCAGTTGTTGTCGGAAAAGTCAAACCATTTGTCTATGTATGAAATTGCCGTGTTGAGAAATGCAGTGAAATCTGACCTTGCCTTGTTTGCATCATGTGGGAGGAGACGTTGCAGCTTCACTTTTGTTAAGTAGCCATAGAACTGGTCATCTCGTCTGTGTGTGAGTTTTCTCTTGAATGTATCCATGATGGAGTATAACTCAACACAAGTTGTTGAATCACTCTCCAGCTTCTTTACAACTTCCTCAAAGAGGGAGAGGATGTTACTACAGAACAGGAGGTAAACCTCCACCTCATCAACATCTCCCTCAGTTGTATCTTCCCTGAGTTTTAACAGAGCACTGATGTGTCGGGGACACTCATCCCCCAGGCTTATGAAATGAGACCGGAGAGCAGTCCAGGTTTGCAGTAGCCGGGTGATGGCTGGATTTAGGGACAGCCACTTTGTTGTCACATGTCGCAGAATCTCCCGGAACTCCACATCACAAAACTGGCAGAAGTCTTTTAGGGACTCTCTTCGTTTGGCAGATGAAGAGAAGAAGCTGTAGATCTTTAGCACAACGTTTTCCACATCTACAGTGAGCTGGTTGAGAGCATGCTTTACTGTGTTGTGCACAATGTGGGCATGGCAGTTCCCTTGCAGAAGATTCTTTTGCTTTTTCTTCAGGTTGGTGAAGACAGAGTTGTGTATTCCACAACTGACATTAGTGTTGTCTGCACTATATGCTGTAACTTGATCTAATGATAAGCCAAATTTATCGAGGGATTTTTGTATACAGTCTATAATGCCAGCAGCTGACTCATCTGCATTCTCAATGAAATCCAGCATTTTGTTGGTGATCCCACTTTCTGTCCTAAAGTACTGAACAGCTATGGGAAACATCTTCCTGTTCCCCTTATTTGATGCATCAGTTTGTATGGAGAATGGAGGGGTTTACCTGATGTTACCACACCAATTACATCACCCACTGCCTTCGGAGCAAGGACGTCTTTGACCATCGCTTCCGCCTTCGTTCTCCCTAGAGACATTTTCTTTCCAATTTTGGAATCATGGAGTGTCTTCTGATTAAGTTTGTGTCCACAGTCTGCACTGTTGTAGCTGAGGTTGTGCTTGACCGTGTGGTACACCTGTGTCAACTCAGCTGCTGTAACTTATAGGGGGGGAGTAGGATGACAGATTTGTAATTAAATAAACAGTAAGGATTTTATAGTATTTATTTATTTATTCTGCCCTGTCTATCTTTTTGTTGTTTTCTCATGAAATCATGAATGGTACTATCAATATTGTTTTGACCTTTTTTCTTATTGTATTAATGAAGTGACTATTCTTGATGTATTGATGACATATATAGGCTACAGAAATAACCTATCTACAAAAATATATTAAATAAAACACTATGGTAGCTTAAACATCATTTATTCCTTTTTAACATCTCATACTGTTGATTCATCAGTAGGATTAATTTTTACAAAATAATCATATATTATTATTGTTATTATTATTATTGTTTTTATTATTATTATTGTTATTATTATTGTTATAATTATTATTGTTGTCTTTATTATTATTGTTATTATTATTATTGTTATTGTTATTGTTGTTATTATTATTATTATTGTTATTGTTATTATCATTATTATTATTGTTATTATTATTGTTATTATTATTAGTTTTGTTATTATTATTATTATTATTGTTATTATTATTATTGTTATTGTTATTATTATTATTATTATTATTGTTATTATTGTTATTATTATTGTTATTGTTATTATTATTATTATTATTATTGTTATTATTGTTATTATTATTGTTATTATTATTATTATTATTGTTATTATTATTATTGTTGTTATTATTATTATTATTATTGTTGTTATTGTTATTATTATTATTATTATTATTGTTATTATTGTTATTATTATTATTATTGTTATTATAATTATTATTGTTATTATTATTATTATTATTATTGTTATTATTATTGTTGTTATTATTATTGTTATTGTTATTATTATTATTATTATTATTATTATTATTGTTATTATTATTATTGTTATTATTATTGTTATTATTATTGTTATTATTATTATTATTATTGTTATTATTATTATTATTATTATTATTATTATTGTTATTATTGTTATTGTTATTATTGTTATTATTGTTATTATTATTATTGTTATTATTATTATTATTATTATTAATAAGCTTGTATCTGCCTCTGGAGATGCTTCAGAACTGTGAGACTGCAGTTTGGTATTTGTTGGTCCTGATGTTGCGGGAATGTTCCTCTCCCGCAGCATGCTGTCGCACGTCCGACAGGCCACCATGCACCACAGAA